CCCCATCCCAATGGGAAGGCACTGGTAAGTCCCCTGTGTTTTCTTAGACACTTACCATAGGGCAAAATGAAACGCCTCCTGGAGATGCTCTGTGTCTGGAGGGAGGCAAAAGGGGATTTCAACAGGTCTCCTTCCTATAATCCCTAGGAAATTCAGCAGCATTTAGTGGGGAGAGCCCCAAAGCACTGAGGTAGTGCTGAACCACCCCATATTAGACATCACATGGTCTAAGGATGGGAATGCTGCAGCCAGCCAAGCACAAAACATCCATGGGTAACCTTCAAAACCAGACCCCATCTCCCTCACCTTGGCCAGTGTTTCCCTTCCCATATCACCCCCTTAAGCAGCTTTTATCACACTCACCTTCATTGCTTGTCCATCACTGCCTATAAGGACCAAGCAACAATGGGGTTGACTGCTGGGGGTCCCCTGGCATCAAATCAACTCCTGCTCTGCACCAAAACCCACTTCACACCAATGGTTTTTCCAGTGGGAAAGCAGATGGGGCTACATCTGCTGGGAGCTTTTCCCGAGCACATCCTGGCTTTGAAGGCATCGACAGACTCATACTGTGTGTGATACCGGGCCAAGAGCTGCCTGACCTGGGGGCCAGCAAGCTGCTAGCCAGCAATGCAGTTCACTTGGCAGACACTTGATGGGGCTACGAAACCGATTACCAGCACACCTGGCAGAAACGGGGGGGACAAAAAACAACCTCTGCCAGATGTTTTGGGGTCCCGTTTTGAGGGTATCAGGCTGGTGTTGCAGTAGCCAGCAGCATCCATGCAGGATGCTGGCCTTGGTGCGGTGGTACCCTGCCTTGACAGCTTTGCTTTAGTTTTTGGTTGTGTTCTGGACACTGTGGCAGAGTGAGAATTGACAGCACATGGATAAAGCTGGAGGGTTTATCCCCAGAAGATTGTCCATGCTCTGCTTTGATAAGCACTGTGGTGATGGAAAGGGAAGGTATGGAATGGGCAGGTCTGGCAGTGGAAGCACTGATCAAGTTCTACAGTGCTGCTGCTGCTGCAGGGTTTAGTGGTGGTGGTGGAAGTGCTGGAGTAGCGGTTGGATGTGATGATCTGAAAGGTCCTTTCCAACCCAGTTGATTCTATGATCCTATATAGCAGGAAGTGACCTTGCTACCTCCTGACCCACCACTGCCTAACCCAGGCTGTTCACAAGCTGCTGCAGTGGGATTTCCCCGTATTTCACCCCAAAAGAAGGGGAGGACAGGGAGATGCAATCCCAGAGCAGACCGTGAGCACTGTGAGAGGCTCAGCCCCGCATTGCAGAGCCCACTGCAGGCAAGGCAAGGGCCAGCCCCCGATTCCCTGAACTTCCCAGCATGGATCTAAACCCACCAGGCCCTGCCTGGCTCCAGCTGGCTGGGCAAGCTGGCAGCATCCAGAGAGCAGATAGTGAGAGTCAAAGCTTCTCTTGCTGGAGGAAAATAGACCAGAAAGAACAAGAGAGGGTCTCCATAAATCACGAGCTTGTTACTGATGGAGAGAACTCCCCTCCCTCTTGCTCCACACACTGCGGCACGAATTATGGCCCCAACTTCGCTGTTGTTCAGTGATGAACATCTGAAAAGGCTGTGACAGATGAGAGAAGGGATGATTTAACAGCCATAAATCCAGCCAGCTTAGAGGTGTTTTTACAACCAAACCCATCTTGAATCCCCTCTGTTATGAATACTTATCACTCCCAGACACTACTACAATGGAAAGATTTTTAACAGCTTTAATAGAGACGCAATAAAACCCCCCGGAGCCCAGCAAGCAAATGTCCTTTTTATCCCTCAAGGGAAGGAGAAGGGGGCTGAGAGCCATTTGCTGTGCTCAGGCTTGAAGGATCAGAGCTGGAGCAGCCACCACTAGCCCTTGTGTTTAATGGATGGATGGCATCAGCCGAGATCTGTATCAGCTTTCCTAAAGCTGCTGCAGGGACAGTGTAATTAATACCTTGTAGGGAGGGAGGAATGGGGGGAACAGGCTGTGCCCAGGATGTGCAGCACCTTCCACCTCTCTAGGGCTGTTCTTACCTCTGCCGTGTCTCCTCCTGCAGTTACCCAAGTCACATCTGGTCTAACCCATCCCGGGGGTTCAAAATGATGGTTTCAGCCCAAAGAGCCTCATGGGTTGGTGCCACCCCTCGCTGCTGTTAATGCGCCTCATTTCACATGCATTGAAGGCTAAACAGGCTCAATGACCATCACACAACGAGCAGGATAAGGGCTCTGCTCACTGGCACTTCAAGGAGGCTGGGAGGCATCCCAGCTCAGGGTTAAGAAGCCAAGGATCTCACTCCCTCTCGCTATATGTGCTGCCCCTATGGCCTCTCTATACCCTTCTGTACATACAGGCAGAGTCAGTGGCTGAGAGATGCCAGGGTTGCACCCACTGCAAAGGGCACCCAGTGCTGAGCAAATATCTAAGGAATAAGCTCCCCCTTTCTTATACACACAGACTTATCAGGCATAGCAAGGCAATAAGCAATTCATGGGATGGAGGGAACAAAAGCACTCCCAGGGCAGGTGGCTTCTAGTTTTCCATAGCCGGAAAACCCCAGGTAAAACATCCAAGCACAAGCTTCAGGGATGAGGGGTTTCCCTCCTGCAATGGTGAATCCATGGAGTGCTTCAAGGAGGAAAAACAGAAGGAGCAGGGCAAGCTCTTTCCTAAGAGAAAGGTGTCCGTGAAGCCTTGTTCTTGGGCTATTGAGATGCCAGCATAACAGGGACCAGGCTCAGGTTGACCATAGGGAGACAAGAGCAGACATGGTCTCCGAAGCCTGTGTGGAGGATGATGCTTCCAGCCCATTAATCTAAGGGAACATCTTCTTTTTTGATAAGATAACAGTGAGTAATTGATTTTTAAATACACTGAAATGGAATGTCCTGAGGCGAGAGCAGGATCCCAGCTCCATCGTCACATCAGCAGCGAGTGGCAAGGATTGGGAGCACAGGGGAAAAGGAAACAAACCTTAAAGCTCCTTCATGTGCCTTGCTGGCCCCGGGGCAGACATGAAGGTTTCTTTCAGAGGTGCATCAATCCTCCTCTATTAAACGCTAGGTCATCAAAAGGGAGAAGCTGGTGAGGGCTGAGCTGGGGAAGGCATCAGGGACCATGGAGACCGAGCAGGCAGCATGGGGAAGATCCATCTGATTAAAACACATGAGAGCCGAGTGAGAAAGTCATTTTTAAGACAATTTATTCCATCCTTTCGCTCCGTCTCACCCCATCCTTCACACAGCTGGGAAGGGCTTATGGACGTTTTTTATTCCATTTTAATTCTTTTTTTGGTAGAAAAATACACGTGCAAATAATATACACTTCACTGCTGAACTTCTTTTCATGTTGGGAAAAAAAGGATGATAATAAAGAAACAAAGTAGGATTTGGGAAAGACCTGAGTGGAGATAGACACAGGGATGCCATAGGGATGGGATGCTCCAGGATGCAGGTCCTGGTGCTGAACTGCCTGGTATCTGTGGTCTAGCACATCTTCTCCATCAGATAGGTGCACGTTAGGCCTCTCTGACAGCCCCTTACCCCAATAAAAACCATTCTCTGGTAACACTGCCCACACTGGGGAATGGCCAAGAGAAAGCCAGTGCTGGATCCAATCCTTCATATAAGACCCAGCGTGGAGCAGACCCCCAGCCCCAGCAGCAAGGGAACCTCAGCTTAGGCAAAACCATCATTCACATGGTAGAAAATGACACCAGAAACAGGGAAAAAGCCCTGTTCTGCTATTTATGTGGTGGGATACAGCCAACAGCATGGGGAAAAGTGGACTGAGGATCACTTGGAACCTGGACTTGTGTTTCAGGACAGTATTTTGGGGGTGATATCGTATGATGGACCCTTGGCTGCTTGGAACTGGGGTTTACTGACCAGGTCCCATCTGAACAGCGATGTCCCCATGTCCCCAGCCTCCCTGCAAACCCTGTGCCAAGGAAAAAGCAGATACACTGCACACCAGGTAGCTGCCATCACTGGAGCAGAATAGGAGATGTGCTTAAGACAGAGCTATTTCAGGTTTGATCGATGGAGCCAAGGGGCTGGGGAAGGAGAGGGCAGCGAAATGCTGGCTGGGGGAAGAGGGTGATTAATCTCATAGCATGGCTGCTTTGGGAAGCCAGGAGGCTTTGGGAAACACCATAAGCCCATGGCAGCCCTGATGCTGAGGATGCAGCAGGAACGGGTACAGGGGGAATCTGCCTTGGTGCTGTTTTGTTACCTCCTTCCAAGCAGCTTCCATGTGTGCTCCTCTCCCAGCAACCCTGCTCAAGGCCACGGTTTTTCTCCTGATGATCCAAGCTAATGATGCGGAGCAAACTGCGTTTTCTCTCTTCCCACAGGTACAAAACCATACATGCGGTGCAGGGAAGATGCTCCAAGGGAAGGATTTCTTCCCAGCTCCCAAGGAGCCTTATACAGAGGAAAGCAGCAGCACTTTGCCAGCCCCATCTCTGCTCCCATCAAGCCCCAACACTGCCCATGCCCCCAGGCAGTGGTGACATCCTAGGAACACAACCCAACCTGTTGCCCTGACCCAGATGCCCATTGCGCCCCATTGCCATCCCCAGCAGCCAGATCCTGCATTGCCAGGACAAACCCATGTGGTGAGAACACCCAGTGCCTCACTATGGTGGGAGATGGGTCAAACTGGAAGCTGCTCTCCCAGGGGAATTGGGTTCCCTTGGTGGCTGCATATGGCTGCATGTGGTCCCTGCCATCACCTCCCATAGCCCTGGTCCATCTCCAGCCTCCATGCAGATGCCAGTGGGGAAAGGCAACAGGAGGGTCACAGCCTTGGGTTCCTTTGGGTTTACCACCATCCACAGCAGCCTGGGGAAGGCACCGAGCAGTGAACACGTTTGGCAGCTCTGCTGCTGCCGCCGTGCCATGGAACACCTCAGACCACAGGCAGCATCCCATGGTGGGGTTGGAGACCCTTAATCCAGCTTCCGCAAACACACCTGGAGCCTGCAGCAATCACTCTCTCTTTGCATTTGTTTGGGTTTGGTTTTGATTTTTTACTCACAAAATACACTTTTGGGGCTGTCTACTCTGAAAACAGATGCGAGGGGGTCTGGCGAGGGGCAGGGGGGCTGTTTTAGCTCCTATTTCTACGTGCTGCCTCGGTGCAGCGCTAAGGGTTGGTGGATGATCATGCAGGTTTTATTGCAGCGTGTGTGTGTGATTTCTCAAAGCAGCACAGCTTCAGTTACAGGTATATCCCCAAAGGTGGGTTTCTTTCCCCATCTTGCCTGCTCCAACCGCAGCGCGATGGCCAGGCAGCTATTCAGTAGCCATCTGCTCAATGTGGTCACTGAGCAGCTTGAATTGCTCTGTGGAGGAGAGAGAAAACGGTGCTGGGAGGGTGCTGAAGCATCCCACCCAGGTAGGAGGGCTCCATCCCTCTGGAATCCCATGGAAGGGGTGCACATCCTCCCTTACCTTCATCCAAGTTGCCGATGGTCGCCTGCTTCTTCAGGAAGTCACTGCAGAGCTTCTTGTTCAGGCCGAACGCCAGCATGTTGTGGATGAAGGTGCTGAGGACGGACAGAGATGCTTTTGGTGAGGGGAAGGGCCAGGCTGCCTTTTTTTCCCCACACCCTTCTCTTTGTCCTTGCATCCACCCCTTGTACCAGGCACTGGGATGATGCTCAGCTATGGGAAAGCGTGCTAAGAGACACTGCAGTGTCCAGCTTTCAATTTAAGAGATAGGAGCAGGTCCTAAGGAGAAGCACCAAGCATCCTCTGCACCATAAGGGATGTCCCCAATGACGAAACATCTATGATGTGCCCCCCATCAACAGCCCATGCCCTGCTCACCCCAGCTGCCCGAAGGTGATGTTCTCATTAAAGCGGAGGCTGTCATCACGCTCCTCCTGTGTCATGTGGCACCACTTCTCCCTGCAAGGCACAAACCCATCTGGCACCACCATCACCCCAGAACCCCCTGCCTGCATCCCCCCGCCCCAGGACACAGAGAACACCAAGACCCCTTGGCATGTGGGGTGCAGGATGGGCTCCCACAACTGCATCCATCCGCAGGGCTCTTGCTCTGGGGCAAAGAAAGAGATGTCGCAGGAGAAAGTCATCTTCAAGCTTGGCTTGCTCCTGAAGGTTAAGAGCTAGGAAGAGCATTGGCCTCTCAGCACAGAGCTTGCATCTCTCATCTTCAGTGCCATCGCTTTGGCACAGGGGATGAGTGAGGAAGCAGGGGGTCTGCAGCTCATGCTGAAGCCCCCCACAGCCCAAGAGGGGTACCACGAGGGTACCAGGCACCTCTCCCCCATCTGCAGTGGGGCTCCAACTCCCCAAACCCCGAGCAAGCCATTCCCCAAACATACCTGCCCCTCCGACAGCATGAGGAGCTCCCGTCCTCTTTCCTATGGCCCCACTCAAAGGCCAAAGTGCCAACATCACAGTGCAGCCCTGAAGATGCCCTGGCTCTACTCCGCCTCCCAAGCAAATGCAACTGCAGCATTGCCTTAAAGGAAAGCGGTTTATGTGCTCTAGATGTTGGCAACCAACTCTAGGTGGTGGCACGAGTCCCCATCCAGGTGTCCCACTTGTGGGGGCTTTGGGAATAAAGCCCATGTCATGGAATGTCACTGTGGTGCTGTGCTCAGGTGGTGGCAGCAGGGGCTCAGTGCATGCACACCAGGTGAAGCCAGCCCCATCCCGAGAGGTTACAGGCAAGGATAAGAGGAGGAAAAGCAAGGAAAAACAGGGATAGGTAGAAGAAAAACAGCTCTATGGAGGAGAAGGAAGAGGAGAACACCAGGATCGCATCACTAGCTCGCCAGCACACCAAGCAGGATGGGAGGAGCTGTGCTGGGTGAAAACAGCAGTTGGGATGAAGGGTGTCTCACAGGGCATTCAGGGGGGTGAGCTCAGCCCCAGAGCGTGTTTGTGTTGCTGAAAGTGGAGAAGGATGAGTGCCCATCCAGGCTGACCGCATGGAGGTGAGCCTGTCCTCACCCCAGCCAGCCCAGCCCATGGGGAAGGTGCTGAGCCGAGACTCAAGGAGAGAGCTGCTGCTATTCACAGGGCTCTGGAAACTGGTATGGTATATTTAGAAGTATTTAAAGAAGAAAAAAAGAGGTGTAATTTCTTCCAGATAAAGCTCACAATAGCAAATGAAAACCACATCCAAATCTGGAGGCTGGAAAAAAAGGAGAAGAATCAAATTAAGGGGGCTTTGAAATCTGGAAGCGAAACTTCACAGACCTCACTGGCCCACTTACAGAAGCAGCGTGTTTGTAACCATTTTTTTTCCTGCCTTTTCATGTTTTTGAGGGAGGAAGGAGGGAGAAAAAAACCATTATCAAAGAAAAATCTGGGTTGTTATTTGGGAGTAACATGCCTGGCAAGGGGGGAAGCCCACACGTGGCTCTACTCAAGCCCTTTGATCTTCATACTAGCACAATGGGGCAGGCGCAGGGGTGTGTGCTAACACCCTGCCTGTATGTTGGTGTACCCAAGGATGTCTTGCCATGGGCAGACAATGGGGAGAACTGTGCCTGTAAGATGGGGCTTCATCCACTTGGCATCACTCGTCTTTCAGCAACAGCGTTTCACCCCACACAGACGACCTGAGCAATGCTCTATCTGAGCACTGTTCCAGTTATCCATTTGCTGGTGCATGCCTTAGCCACGTGGGAGATTTACTGCCAAGCTTCAAAGAACCCTCATCCTCTTGCTAATGGCATCACTGGCAGTGATTTGGTCCGAGATTGACTACCCCATGCTCCAGCAACAGAGCCATGGCTCTCCCCCTGCCCCAATCCCAACTCAGAACACCCATGGATGTGGCTGCATTTGAGCGTTTTAAGCTGGCAAAGGACCCTCAGCACCTCTATGTGGCAGCAGAAGCCAGGAGCAAGCGGGAAAGACAGGAGAGGGGGATGCTTTCTCCACGAAGAGGCTCAGTTCATGTCCAAAACCTGCCTGGGAGCTGTTCCCAACGTAAGCCCTTGGCTACCCCATCGGTGGGCATCTGATCCCGACAGCAAAATATTACAGCTTGACACTGTTCAAGTTTCCTTATAAAAGGCCACATTAAAGAGGCCCTCCTGGCCCTTTTGAGTGGGTGATGCACATGGAATCAAACCTCTGGTGGCCGTTCCTCCTCAATGGAGAAAGGGCATTTCAGAGCCCCCCTGAAACACGTTACCCCAATCCCCAGGGCAGGGTTTGGACCTGAAGTGAGCATCGGCCTCTGGACACTAATGCACTGAAGTAGAGGGACAGACACACCTCTTCTCCTCTTCCTCCCCAGTGTTCCCTCTGGAGCGGCAGCAGAAACAGGGCCGACAAGAGTGGTGCGTGAAAGATCATGCAAGATAGAGGGATGGAGGGGAAAGGAGGGAAGAAGAGATGGAAAGAAGGTTGTTAGAGGCAGAGAGAGGAAAGAGAGAGAAAAGAGGTTTAGTTCTGGTTCCTTCCCCCATCCCCTGCCCTCCCCACCGACAGGAGCAAAAACCTCCCCTGCTTTACTGCATCCCCAGAGGATACAGCCCGAACACCGCAGAGATGCCCTGACCACCCCATAGAAATGGTCACAGCCCCATCACCACAGACCATCCAGACACCTTCCACGGCCAAGCAGCATCCCTGATGTTCCAAACCCATTCCATGCGACACCAGCCCTCACCAACCAGCTCTTCCTGACAGGGTTTTTAATCCTCAGTCCAGTAAGCAGCATCCATTCGCCCAATGGCATCCATTATCCTCTCCAGAGGACTGAGGGGGGATCACCACCACCTTCCAACCCCCACTGAGATACTCAGAGCACTCCAAAGGTGCAGCTCTTGAAGCTCATTAGTTAGGTGGGCTTGTTTCTGCAGCAGAAGCAGACTCAGCCATCAGTTTAATTGAGAAAGGCACTCGGAGCAGAGAGCAGCTGCCGGTGGCGTATGTCCTTGTGAGACACTTGCTGCTGCTAATTCGGGGCTTAATCAAAGCAAATGCAGTTATGGTTACATTAACTGTTCAATAGGTTCTCTCGGTGGCTTGCTTGGGATAAAAGGAAAGGCAATAAAGGAGAAAACAGAGATTGATCGGCACGCTCAGCCTAGCAGAGCATCCCATGGTGTGAGGCAGGGCTGCTGTGGCTTAGTTCAGGTTGTGGGGGGGATGCAGGAGGGCTGGCTGCTCAGAAAAGGGGCTGTTCAAGTGCTCTCACCCTGAGAGCTCAAAGCCTCAAAGCACTGCACAGACACATAGCAAGGGGGAAACTGCAGTAGAGAGGAGTGAATTGCTCAAGTCCTCATGGCAGCTCCATAATGGAGCAAGAGATAGACATGAACCTGGCAAGCACCTCACCCACCCTTGCACCCTGTAGAGTCCCCATGCCCGGGCACCCAGATGCTCCAAGCACACAGCCACCTTCCCAAACAAGCAGCCCCTTCCCTTTGCAGGGTTTGTTCCCATCCTACAGCTCTCAGGGGTGATGCTGACATCTCCAGCTCCCATCCTTGCTGGTTGCCTGGTGTTGGTCCCCATGCTGTGCTGGCACAACTTGTCCACAGCTCCCCTGGGGATAGCCGGTACCCAGAGCATCCCCTCCCTATTGCTGCACTAAGTATCTTTCCCCGTATCTGCTTGCAAATCAAGCACCAACAGCCTGAACTCAGCTGGGTTTTCTGGGAACACCTCTAGGGCTTTGTCCTTGCAAAAGTGATGCAAAACGAGCAGGAAAACCTTCATGCACCTAAATCCCTAAGAGGATGCACCCCACAGCCCAGTAGTCCCACGGGTTTGCCATCAGGGGCAGAAAGCAAAGTGTTTCCCCATGGTTGGTGATGCTTAGGACCATTGGGAACGCTGTGAGGCTGGAGGGGACACAGCATCTCCTTTTCTGATGGGAACACATCCTACCTGGTGGTGGGGGACCGCTTCCTGCGCTCGCAGTGCACAGCGTCGAAGAAGGCAGCATTCCAAAACCGCAGGTTGTGCCTGCAGGGAGGGAGGGAGACGTTGGGAATGGCCACCCCCTATCTCCCATCTTTCCTATGTCTCCAGGTCCCCCCAGGGCCAAGCTCTCCCACTTCCCAAGAGCCAGGAGATGATTCAAGGGGGTCTAAAGCAAGTCTGGTGGATTTGGTCCATTTCTGGACCAGCTCCTTGAGTGGCCGCAAACACACTCTCACTGGCACAAGAGATGTGCAAAAGCCATCAATGTCCTCTTTTAGGGGCAGTATCACCTTAAAAGTACTCATAAACATATGGAGAAGGTGTGGACAAGGAAGAGTAATCCCCTCCCCAGGGAGACCAACACTGGCCAGGAACCAGCTCGCCCCAGGCAGGCTTTACCAGATGGGCTGCTGCTTGAGGTGCATGTACAGGTAGATCTTCTCTCCTTTCTTCTCCTCCTCTGGGCTCTGCATGGAAACTGTGGGGACACAGTTATATGTCGAGGTCTGGATGGTTCCCACCTTCCCACCCATGGACAGACTACGTGACCCCCTTCCAGTTTGGTGTCCAAGCAGCTGTGATGGCAAGGTCTGCAAACCAAACACTCATCCCCAACACATCCACACCAACAAGGACAGGAGTTTTGGCTGCCCTTTGTGGGCAGGTATAAGCTCTGACCAAAGCATGGAGGTCCCAGAAGGATACTTGAGGGACTGGATCACTGATGGGTAGCACACACAGCTATGGAGGGGAAACTGGTGCAACATGGAAGCTCAGGAGCCCAAACCTATGCAAGTTGTGCCCCTGAGGACAAGATGCCATAGGATGTCCTGTGGGGTAAGAGCTGTGATTGCTCCAAAGCAAGGAGCTGTGAAGGCTCCTTTAGAGCACTTCTGTAAGGGCTCAGAGAAGATAGCATCTTCCTGCCCTTCTCCCAGCCCCACAGCTCCAGCAATGCATGGTCATGGTTATCTCATACTACCTCCAACCCTTATTCCTTCACTGGGGATGCCATGACCACCAGCACTGGTTCCACTCACCCGTCTTCTTCAGCTTCTCCTTTGGTTTGTCCTCCCCTTCGCTGTGGCACAGAAATCAGTGTCAGGTCCCAAAAAGCCCGTCCCCATGACAGGATATATGGCAAAGCCCTGCCCACCCCAGAGAGGGGATCATCCTCACTGAAAGCCCCCCTATTTCCAAAGGGGCTAAGGGACTGTGATGTCCATCCCAGTCAAACCCAATACAGAGATGATGCAGAAGATCACAAAGCAACAGCACCATCTCCTAGAACCATACATTTCCACCCCCAGGGGACATAGGACTCCCGCACTATGAGATGTCCAATGATCTAAGTACAAAGCGTGGGACCAACCCTCTTCCCATGGCCATGATAACTCCTGGCTCAGCGTGACCCTGCGCCCAGGAGGTTTCTGCCTTGGTGCTGCCTCATCCCCACCCAACAGAGGGGTACCCACTCGCTCTTTCTGCTGGTAGGACCCTTCAGTTTGGTCTCCAGGCCCCCGAAGAAGCCCTTGACGTTCTCTGTCTTGGCTGATGTGGTTTTCAGCAGCCGCTCCGCGACATCCTTCTTCTCTGCCAGCCAGCTATTTGCTGACTTCAGGTACGAGTCGATGCTGCCCATGGGCTTCTCCTTAGCCTCCAAGGGCAGTGTGTGGGTCTTGCCTGTGGGCAACACATCAGGAGCTCAGCTGCACGCATGGTCCTGGGTGCTGTTAGCTCCTGGGGGACCTGCTCCCAGCACAGGCCGGACCCATTCCAATTTCCACAGGTCTTTATCCCCCCCCTAGTTTTGGATAGGAAATCAGGAGTGGCCACCACACACTAAGCAATAAACCAAGGTGGTTCTGGGCTGGGACATTCACAACACAGCCCCAGGGTCAGGGAACATTTGGGGATTGCCCACATAGAATCATAGAATGGTTTGGGTTAGAAAGGACCTTAAGCTCATCCAGTTCCAACCCCCCTGCCATGGGCAAGGACACCTCACACTAAACCATATCACCCAACCTGGCCTTGAACACTGCCAGGGATGGAGCATTCACAACCTCCTTGGGCAACCCATTCCAGTGCCTCACCACCCTTACAGTAAAGAACTTCCTCCTTATATCCAATCTAAACTTCCCCTGTTTAAGTTTGACCCTATTACCCCTTGTCCTATCACTACAGTTCCTAGTGAAGAGCCCCTTGCCAGCATATTCAGTACGTACCTATAGAATCCCTTCCTGTTACCCTTAACATCCCTAGCCATGAACATCCCTGAATAGAAGCAATAACAAACGAGCATCAGCATGAGCATCAGCGAGGGTCTCTGGAAGGTTTGCACTGCTTCTTGGCCATGGAGGCTCTTTTCAGCTCAGTACCAGCCAAGCTTGGGTACCCTCCATCACCCTTCCCATGCACAGGGCACACTTCACCACCAACACAAGCAGAGCCCAAGGGTGCAGGTGCCTCTTACCCACGTAGTAGTAGGTGAAACACATGGTCATGAGGTTCTTGGCAGGGCTGAAGTCATCCATCTGGTGACACCTATCACAGAGGGAAGGTTTGGTAAAGAAGGACACCCATTAGGCAACCCATGGGTGCTGCCTGTTGGCTTTTGGTGGTCCAACAAAGCCCCATCCCACCCCTGACTTACTCAAACAGCACAAGGGCAAAGGACTGCATCAGGCGGTAGAAGGTCTGCTCCGAGACACATTTGGAGTTGCAGCGCTGCAGGCACAAAGCCCAGGGTTTAGCACAGGTAAAGCAGTAACCTAAGTCCACCCCATGGCCCCCATGCAGGGAGATGGGCAGAGCCTCCCTCCTGGAGACAGGCGTTAGCCTCTTGGAATTGATTTTGTAGGGAACAGGACATTTCTGAGTGTAGATGAGATGTCATTTTACATTAAAAGAGGTGACTTCTGTTCCCACATTGCAATAAAGATGTATTTAACTGCCTTGAGATGCATTCATTCACTTCTCTATCTCCCTGTACTGAAGTTCCTCCTTTTACCCCAATTCCTGCCCTCCATAAGTATCGCTTTGGGGTGTTGCTGTATTCCCCTGGCTGGAGCCTCCTGCTCCAAATCCCCAGTGCAGGGTCATTGCTCCTTTGCCCATCTCTCCCCTTACCTGGGCACTCACGTATCTTGCAAACCACTCCCTGCCCTTCCCATTCTCGCTGCTGCAGAGCTCACCAAACCTGGCCTTCTCTTCTTGGTCCAGATCCTCTCTGAAATGGGGTAGAAAGACAGAAAAACACTATTAAAGGTGAGGATGTGGCTGGTATCCCCTATCCAGCCAGCATGGCTCAGCTCCTCCACCTGCATCCTGGTCCTGTGATACCGGGAGGAAGCAGAGGAAGAAGAGCATCCATTTTGCCATCCCTCATCTTATGCTGCTCTTTTGTTCCTCCCTGACAGGGGGAAAGCCAAGGGCAGAGGGAGAAGGGAAGAGCTAAGCACAGCCTGAGCAGAAACTGAGCTCCAGAGACAGGCACTGTGCCCCAGAGCAAAAACAACCCCTGTTGCTGCTCATCACGCTCCGTTTGCTCAATCCTGCTTGACACACCGAGCCGCAGAGTTATGGAGACCACAGTGATGGGAGCTGGGGGGATGCAGGGATGGGGTGGGAGCCAGGGGCTGCTGCAGAGCCAAGGGGCACATGGTGAGCCACTGGTGGTGGCAGGAGCATCATTAGTGGGGAAGAAGGGTTGGAGAGCACAGCATGGGAAGAACCCCAGCATGGGAAAAGGGAGAAAGGAGAGGGGTGGGAAGCTGGGGGTGAAAGATGAGTTGGGATGTGCCTAAGAAAGGGGTGCAGGTCAGAGCCTGCATCCTCGCCTTAGCTCTGACAACACCGGGAGCAACAATCCAGGCACAGGGAAGGACACAACCCAGAGTGGGAGAGCACCCAGACCCCATCCCATGGGATGTCCCCTAGCAGCCCCCTCAGGCCCTATTCACTCACCCTCCGGTGAAGATCTTCTCCACGTAGTGCCGCATGAACTCCCGGCGCTCGGCTGTCTCCTCATCCCGAGCTGACTCCGTGCTCTGGCTGGAGGAGAAGGACTCGTTGGATGAGGAGCGGTGGTACCGGCCCCAGTGCTGGGGGGAGTCACCCATGTCATTCTCGCTGTCTGCAGACTCGGTGGCATCGCTCTCCTCCCCAGCCACATCCCCCGTGTCCCCCTGGTGCCCGTTGCCGTTGGGGGCTGAGGGCTCCGAAGGGATGCAGGTGGGTGTTTCGGTGTCGAAGTCGATGAGATTCCCTACAGGCACGTCCGGGGGGGCCTCCATGGCTCTCCCAAGGGATGTGGTGGTGTTGGGGGGGACTCGGTCCTGGTCCTGTGGTCCTCACTGGGGTGTTGAGGCCATTGCTAGCGGGATGCTTGGCAGGACGGGCTGGCTAAGGCGGGCAGGTCCTTCTGTGCAGGGACAGGTTATTGCAAGGCATCTGAAAGACAAGAGGAGGACAAGAGTGAGGACAGGGCCCAGGGGAACCTCCACCATGGATCTTAGGCAAGGGGATCACAGGCCGCCACCTATAATGTCCCCAGGATGCCCATCAGCAACATGGAGAGACAGGACAGGGATGCACTGATCAGACAGAGCTGGCTGCTCTCCATCAGCCATATGAATAAGCAAACCCACGCAGTGCTTGCGTGCTTTCTGCACTGTTCAAGGGGGTTTTTTATCCGTTAGCCCAGAAAAGAGACAATTTGAGCCCAAGCTCCATATGCCACATTTGGGATGTGACATCTCGCAGCCTGACAGGCAGAACTGGGCCAGCATGAGCCAGCAGCTGGCAAGCACACTGGTGATTTTCCACGGCAGCCCCAAAGCATCATCCCCTCCTCTTCCATCCCCTCTGCTCTTGGGTCTGCCTGACCCCATTTGTAAATGGGTCCTGGATGGAGCATCCCAGTGTTAAACATGCACGGACTCAAACTGGGAGTGGAAAGGGGATGCTGAACGCAACAGAGACTGTCATGGGATGCAGATGTAGGGCTTTGGGCTGCGATTAGATTAATTTTGGCATCCAAACCACATTGCAAAGGTCCTGCAAAGCATTCGGGGCAGTACTGCATCAACTGCTATGCAGCAAAAAGGGCTGCCCTGAAGCTGCCTCTTCACCAGAGTCACTCATGTCCTCAGCGAGCATGTTCGTGCCCCAGGAGGTGGAAGTGATGCTTTCTGAGGAGTGAGCCTGGTACAAGCATCCCCGCTGCAGCAGCTGGGCATGGGGCCAGCGCAGGGCAAGGGAACACAGCACAGGAGCAGGGACAGCAGCACGGCAAAGCAGTGACATCCCCATGGCAGCACCACAGCATCACTGCCACTGCCCTGCTGCCTTTGAGGACACAGGCAACCACCCCCAGAGCAAAAGCAACCCCAGATTTCCTTCAGCTCAAAGAGCAGCATAGCCCAAAGGGCCAATGTGCTGCCCATCAGACAGGAGTTCAAAATAGAACACATCTGAAGCGTTTCACCAAGCTCAGAGACCAGGAAAGTAACCCATTCGTGGCAGGAGGAGCAGCATTCCCAGCAGTGCCCTGCTCCTCCTGCTTCCCACTCCCACTTGGGGTGAATGGGGTGCTGGGACCCACAGGACAGAGAGGGAAGCACTCACATGCACCCACACCAAGCAGTCAACCCCCTGCTCTACACCCTCCCTCGCACTGAACCCTGCTCATCCCCCTGCACGCACCTAAACCGGGATCCTGGGAGAGCTGCGAGGATGCTGCTGCAGTCAGTGAGCCAATGGGAGCAGAAGCTACTGGGAGGAGAGGAGCAGCCAAGAGGCTGCGGCACAGGAGGGACTGGCCTGGTGCCCACAGGGAGCTAGACAGCTGCAGCACAGCTCAGCCCCTTGGGCAGTGTGACCCCATCCACCATCCACCCATCCCTCATCCACCTCCTCATCCATCTACACATTAACCCATCCATGCATCCATCCATCCATGCATCCATCCATCCATCCATCCATCCATCCATCTCTCATCTATCCAACCCTCCATCCATTCACTCATCCATCCACCCACCAACCCATCCACCTACCATCCACCCATTCACCCATCCATCCACACATGTATCCACCCATCCCCATCCGTCCATCCATCCATCCATCTATCCACCATCCATCCATCTATCCACCCACACATCCATCCATCCATCCATCCATCCCTCATCTATCCAACCCTCCATCCATTCACTCATCCATCCACCCACCAACCCATCCACATACCATCCACTCATTCACCCATCCATCCACCAATGTATCCACCCATCCCCATCCATCCATCCATCCATCTATCCACCCACATATCCATCTATCCACCATCCATCCATCCATCCATCCATCCCTCATCTATCCAACCCTGCATCCATTCACTCATCCATCCACCCACCAACCCATCCACCTACCATCCACCCATTCACCCATCCATCCACCAATGTATCCACCCATCCCCATCCATCCATCCATCCATCTATCCACCCACATATCCATCTATCCACCATCCATCCATCCATCCATCGATCCACCATCCAACCATCTATCCACCATCCAACCATCTATCTACCCACACATCCATCTATCCAACATCCATCCATCCATCCATCCATCCATCCATCCATCCTCCATCCATCCATCCATCCACCCATCCACCCATCCACCCACCCATCCATCCATCCATCCATCCATCCCCAGCCCTTCCCACTCCCATGGCAGCTGCAAGGCCCCTTTTTGCACTGATGGAGCAGCAGCACAAGCTCATTTCTGACCACCCCAGGCTCTATTTTAAGAGAAAGAGGCCAGGATGCATGTGATGGGCTTTCACACAGCTGTGCCTCTCTCCCTGAGTTGCTCATCCCCTGTGCACTGTGATCAGGAGCAGGCCTGGAAGCAGGAGGCAGCACATCTGCAAACCGAGCTGTCAGAGCTCTTTGAGCAGATTTTCTCCATTCAACACCGAATGGAAGGGAATTGATGAGGACAACGAATCCACCTGACCATCCATGCATGGATGTGGCACTGAACAAAGTCTGGTGCAAAAGACTTTGCGCAGGCACAGTCCCAGATTCCCCTTATCACGTGCATCCTGTAAATAAACAGCAGAAATTCCTCTACCAGGTGAGCACCCCTATATCTTTATGAGTATCCATCCCAATCAGATTTGCTCCCACTAAGTCACCTGGGGGGACAACAGTGTTTCTGCACAGGTACTTTGCAAAGAGTGCAAAGCCCTGTGCGTGCCTGAACAAAGGGCTTTGCAGAATCTGCTCCAAACAACACGTTGCTTAGGAGCAAAACACAGCCAAGATTAGGGAATTCCAGCTCTAGAAAACAAGTGTAAATGAAGACGGATCTCTTGGCATCGTCTCTGGCTCTGGGCAGGAAGACGGCCACCTCCAGGACAGTATTTATCCAGACATCACCAGAAAGGAGCCAGATGTGCTGGGGCAACGCTGGCTCCTTCTCTGCTTGAGCTCATGCCTGTACCCAGGATGGCAGAGAAGCATCCCCAAGCTCTGCCAGATGTGCACAGCAGGCAGATGGCACCGCTGCCCATCCCCATCCCCTCCAGACAGCAGCTCAGGGTCTAAGGGCACACAGCAACGTGCAAGAGCTCACACACAACACTGCCCAAACACATTGACCTTCTCCATATGCACACATACACACACATATACACACATCCCATGACCCTGCGGGAGAGAGGACTTGGGGTGCAGGCTGAGCCAGACCCCAGTGGGTATAAGGAGCATTGCAAACCAAGCTGAAACCTGGCCAGGGCTGCAGGCAGCATTGGAAAGTGCATTTCTGACCAGAAAGGGTTTACCCACTCGCTGGCCAGCTCACAATGAAGTCCTGCCCTCAAAGGAAGGCCACAAAAGGAGATTCAAGTGCTCCAAGGCTGCTGGGTTCTCAGCACAGAGCCCAGAAGAGCTTTAAGACCAAACCAAGCCTCAATCTCAGCCCTGTACCCACCCCACAACCCAGTTGTTGCTCCAATGGAACAAATACAGGAAAGGGATGGCCAAAAATACAAACCAAGAGCCCCAGGTCCTGCATTGTGAGCACTCAGCTCCATCAGCACATCCCAGCACCAGCCAGAGACAGCCCAGAGCATCCTGCTCCTGGCTTGCCATTACTGGGTCAAGCTTGAGAGTGAATGAGGGCTATGCAATAAAAATGGACTTTTTGGCTGCTTGGAAGCCTTGCCACAATATCACAAGCTTCAGCATCATTGCAAGCTTCAGCATCATTTAGGTCCTGCGGTTCATGGGCTGACTTTAACCATGAAGCTAAACCAGACAGACAAGGTACCACGTAGCTGACTACAGGCTTTCTCACAAGCAAGCATCTTCTAGTACATCTGTATTCCCTATGGACATTTGGAGTACAACAAATCCACGTCTTCCCACTGGAGACGCCAGCCCAGGAATACTGTCAATGAAGAAAGAGTTGGCTGGAGTCATGCATGGAAATGCCACAGGAAACCTGTGGTACCCTGAAACTTTGGAAAAGGCCTGATTTTAACTAAAAAACATGGGGTGTTTAAACCTGGTGCCAGGAGAGGAAGGAGTGAGGAGCTGGGATGCAAAGCAATGGAGCTGGGGATGAGGTAGGACCTTTTCCTGCTCTGTTTCAGAGGAATATCAGGAGGATCTCTGCCATCATCCTCCCATTTGGTCCCACCGCATCCTTTCCAGGGAGCAGGACCACTCAGTGTGCAGCTGAATTCCTTTTTCCCCTTGCAAAACTTGAGGATATGATACAGAGGGGCAAAAAAATCACCCCCAAAGGCTCACTGAGTGATGCTGAAGTGGTACCCACGGGATCAAGACCAGAGAACAGCAGTGATAAAGGACATGACACAGCCCATCTTCAAGCACAGCCTTTGGGGAGTCCTCTGTGCCCATGTGCAGCAGCCAGCACCGGTGCAACCAATGCACTGAGGTGTGATGATCTCCCCAGGGCAATAGCTTTGACTGTGAGATGAGTGGCCTGGCCAAGGTGACATGGCAAACCCAAAACTGTCCCTCCCACCAGCATCACAGACCCCATCATCCCACCCAAACCCCAGCAGCAGACCCTGTCCCTGTAATACCAGCTCTGTCACCATGCCAGTATTGTGTCCCTGTGCCATGGGGTACATCCCATCAGGCAAGGGGATTCCAGGATGAGGTGCTTTCCCAGCATCCCTAAACCCTGTGGGGTTCCCCCTTGGGGTTTATTACAGGTATGGTAGGTGCTGAGGCTGGGTTTCCTGCAGGACCTCAGCAATTCACAGCTGGGAAGTGGGATGCAATCCCAGTTTGATGTGATGGAAATCCCAGCGTGGAGCAGGATTCAGCCAGTCTCTGGCTTATTGCTCCCCATCCCACTCAGTCACCAGAGATGGATGACAAACTCCACTAATCCGTGCTACCAGCTCAGGCTGTGGGTGC